TTACATAGACCGTTGGTTCTGATCTAACCTGCTACCGACAGTTAGACCGTCGATTCGCAGATGTTCACCCTGTGCGCCGTTATGGTGACTTGCGCGTGAATTGGTTTATATTGATAGTAGGCTGGCTCACTTACCTGGGTCTGGTGTCAAGGCAGACCGGAGGCGGAATCGGGCACAGGTGTATGGCGCGGCGGGGCCATCGCCTAGGCGTGCCATCACACCCCCATGTATGCCATTTGTTATGGGTCCGCAATTCAGCATCGCGTGCCGGACCCCGATCTGGCCTCAGTGTTGGTTCAACGCAACTTCCACGTGACCCGTTTTAGGGGGAGTGAGCTACTATCGGGTGTAAGTTGACGCAGGATGGTTTAAAGTCACGTGGAATTGGCCTTCACCAATCTGGCCTGACAGCAGAGTACATGGGGACTGTGTAACGCTCATCAGGCCTTGCTGGCAGCCTCGTGACTCGTAGCAGCCATTCTTCCTGGTCCACGGTGGAGATTGTGGGCAAGATTTTCCCAGTGGCGTAGGGCTAGTAGATTTTACTGTTGTTGCACGTGATTTTTCAGTTTTCTCCGGGGGTTTTAGTGGTGAATGATGCCAACGTCCTCGTCTTCATATCTGGATCGGGCAGCTCGGTGTCTTTAGGATTTGAGAGCGACCCTGTTTGTAGACCTCCTCCTTGAATAAGGCGACGCCTTGTGGACTTTCACCTGCCATTTATACTACTCTGGTCGTCTCCTGCAGACATGTTTTACCTTCATTTTGACTTCAGGGAGTCTGCTGATCAAGTTCTCGAAGATGGATACGGAACGCTATGAGGGTGCTCTGTCCAGATGACAGGATTGTTTCGTCTGAGCCTAGCAGATGCGTAATTTGGTAGAAGGCGAGTTAGGGAGTTGATTGTCCATGCTAGTTACGTCTCGGTTGTGTTTCTGACTACCGAGAGCCATGGTAAGGCATGTTAAAGTGGTACGATTTAAACATTATAGAACATATTTTATAGCCGTTTCCGCGTGAAGGCTATACAGCGATTTCCTAAGGGAACTACAGAGACACTTAGGCAAATATTCAACTGCCTTAGGACCATCTATTTTTAGTACGTAAACGCTCAGATCTAGCTTAGGTGGCCTATGGATTTGCATGTCACTTTCTCCCCAGGACAGGGATAGTTGGCGATGGGGTGGAGGAGCTGGTGTGTAAGGTGAGAACAGGCAGGTAATAGTGATAGACGGTTATTGAAATCTAATATTGGACATAGGAGCATTTATCGACTGCTGTTACTTCCGCTGACGATCGACTTAGACTGATCTAGTTTCGGGTCCACATTCAGTAGGCGATATCGTAATGTCTTTGATTGCTAGACCCAGGGAGTGCTAATACTTTGTGTGTGGGGAATTGCCTTCTAGGACACAATTGCTCACTAGACGGAGTCTGGTTAGTAGAAATTCATTTTTATTTTGTCTCTCCATACTCTGCGCTCCAGCGGAGTGCGGCGCCTATCCGACCAAAAGGTGGCCCCTTTTTGGAGGCACAGATGCACACTGGTGAATATTTAAATGCGTTCTTTTGTAGGGCCACGTCAACTTCCAAAGAAGTGACTCCGGTTCGACCGCCACGCTTCATTGGTCTTGATGGCGTGATCCGGCCGTATGACCTGTTCCAGGCACATGGAAACGTCCTCCTGAAGGTACTACACCTGCAAATCTTTCCTAACGCTTTTCCATCATCGTCGCTGTCTTAGCCACCAGTAGCCACCTTTTTGCATTTCCGCCTATGGCAAGACATGCTTTTTAAATGCCCAAACATAGTTCGTACAGGGACGTATGAAAGCGAAGCGGAGGGGTCTATCGTCGGACTTTTTGGACCTTTTGATCCGTCATTTCTATATGCGGGGCAATAACATTAAGTAAGCGGCTTGTTTACTGTCGGACGGCTTGCATGATTGACTGTGAACTGGATTATACCAGCTGCCAATGAGGGTTCCGCGTGTAATAAGCGGGGGACCGATCGATGTAGTGAAGTAGAAGAATACTAGGATGGTTTCCGGTAGATGGGCGTTTGAATAACAGAGACGGCAATTGCTAGGGCAGCTCTGTCTTCGGATTGTTAAGTGTCCTCATCAGCTACTAACAGATGGCCCTATACCAACTATATTTCTCCACTCGAAGGTGTGCTGATCGGTTCCCGCGCACCTCGTCCACTGGGACGGCTGAGATTTCTCTCATCTTGACTGGGTGGTGTCACGTCAAAACATGCCCTTTGGATAAGAAACATTCCAGTCGATAATGTTCTGCTAGAAGTCTTGAGAAATAAGATGAGCTCACCGGAACAGGGTTATTCGAATGCTGACGTTTTGCAGAGCTTGGCCGTCTCACCATTGTCAAATTTCAAAATGTACTTAATCGACCAGAAATTTGGAGTGGCGTACTGCGCTGGTCGGCCTCATGCTGATCGATTTTTCTCTCTCTGCCTCGGCTTTTCGGATATGTTTGGGGAGTCGTTTAGCTGCGCGCTTTGTGAGCCACCACCTCGTTGGGGGGGGGGGGGGGTAATTGAACCTCTGTCAGGGTTCGCCGGTCTGGTGGTTCTTTTACTTCTTCGTCGAATGAACTCGTCACCGGACTGACTCTGCACGGCCTTCTCAAGTGGTCGTCTGGTCCTGACCTTTACGAACGTAATGAGGCAAGACTTCAGGCTGTATGAAGGTCCAGATGCCTATTGATGTAGCTGGCATCTGAGTACCATCCCTCAAGTGTTAGGCGTTCTGCTTTTGAGTTACCCTGGCCTAAGATGATAGTCCCCTGAAGATCGAATGTATGCCCGTTTTCTCCAACGTGCGTTGCAAGTTGAGAGTTTGTATCTAGCTCTTGTAGGTGGGTCTGAAATTTCCGCCCGCTGTCCCCAATATAGTTGCAGTCCTCATTACTATAACTTATTTTGTAGACTGCCGATATTTCGGTGGGTGGTATTGTATCCTTAGGTTGTTATGCATACTCTGGCGAGTTGTAACAGTCGAGAGACCGCCTCAGAGACCCCTTTAGCATAGGGAATGGCCCTCTAGGCTTTGGGTTGCTCTTCCTGTGGCCGTTGTCTGCTCATTCGGCGCCTGCCCTCATAGCCTACTTGCTTACGTGTTTTTATTTGAAGGTTACAGACCAAGTCCCCGATGACCTTTATTTTTCTCCTCACTGTGTGTGTGTGTGTGTGTGTGTGTCTGCATTGTTCTCCTTTTCCAGCCTTTCAAGGATACTTCGCTCCCCGAGGAGTACGTATTCCATGTACCGCTGCGCAAGCCAAAATCGGTCTGTATACTGACCTCACGGTAAGCCTCTTTCTTCCCCAGTCTTCCTTCGCTCCCATTGTTCCCTCCCGTTCTGACTAACTTATCCTCCACTGTCTTTTTTCATTTATTTAAAACTTTTAGACGCATTTTGATCCTGGGTTTCAACGACATTCTGGGCAGCTGGTCGTGTGACTGGCAGATCAACCTCGCAGAGCTGGATGGAGCGCCCACCGAGTGTGCCAGTGGTCTCGAACTGAAACTACTTAAGGCCCAACGAAGGGTATTCGGCTCCTCCACCGCTTCCAAGGTCATTGAGGCGGACGTCGACCAAGCTAGGGTAGGCATTCCCCCCACCCTCCCTACAGCATTGGCCCCACATAGATGTCTTGTTACCGTCATGCAGCACCCTCCGCCTACTTCATGTCCTCAACTTATTTTTGTAAACTTTCAGCGTTTGCAAGCCATGATAGTGCAACGACTGTCCATGGAGGAGGTCTCGTGATGAATCGTAATTCCTACCTCAGCCCAACACATCTTCACTGTCACATTTGGCCTCCCTTTTCGGGCTGCAAAAAGGACCTTCCAAAGAGCTTTCAACCCCAGAGCTTGGCTTGACCTTTTCCTTATATAGATTTCCGCTGTACCCCCTTTCCGGCTGTCGCTGTCTCCTTTTCGCTTTCACCTTGGTACAGACGCAGCACGTTCACGTGCTCTCTTGTCTTCCATGAAATTCCCCATAAACGTGTGTTCCATTATCGTCATTTGTGTGTTTGGGACTGGATGCCATTGACGGTGTGTTCTTCTGGTTTCAAGTTCGCCGGGTTTTGTGTCTATCTCCCTCCCTATTTTCTTGATAACCCTTTTTTCCCCATCATCAAGATGAAATTGTTGGACGTACTCCGCTTCTACTTAATGAGTGTATTTTGCTCTCTTTCTCTCTCTCTCTCTCTCTCTCTCTCTCTCTCTCTCTCTCTCTCTCTCTCTCACACACACACACACACACACGACAGTTCGGCCGTCGATTTCGACGATGTCCACCGTGTGCGCCACAGCTGCAGCAGCGGTGGGAGCAGGGACGGTGACTTGCGCTGCATCTACCTACACTCCTTCCTCCTCCCCCGCCTGAGCCCGGTGTCAAGACAGAGTCAAGAAGACCGGAGACGAGAGAGGCCGCAGGTGGATGGCTCGGACGGATCCTCACCTTGGCGTTCCACCACACCCCCTGGTCCACACAACGAATAACCATGATTTTCACCAACACAACAGAGTTTGGAGGCTGGCACGGCCAAAGCCGCACCTAGGTGTGCCGCCAGCGCCTGGCTCGGATCCCACACTGTGGTGGGAGTGCCATAAAAGGCCACATTAAAAAGGAGCCATTGCAGCCCGACTCTCAGACCACCACCAGTCAAGGAGGAGGTCCAAGTTACCCCGTCAGTTGTCAACCTTCCAAGCCACGGCTTTAAGCGCACCGTGATAGCTTCAAGCGCGTCAGATTGTTTATAGTGAGGAATGTGCGCTGAGTCGTCGACCTCACTCTCCCTTCCCATCCCCACACCCCAGCCGCTGTCCTAGCCGGTCAGCAGACTGAAGTAGGAAATGGGCGCGGTGGCTGGCACGGTCGATTGACCATGCCTGCGCGCGCCACGAGCACGACCTGACCCCCCATACACACAACACCAGGATTTCACACAACGGGGGTTGAACGGCGTGTCTCTCACTTGCGTGAGAATGCCGTGGAAGGTGCTGTTTCAGCCCGCCGCCCAGTCCGCCATTCCACACAACACATACACAACGGGACGAACTGCGTGAACCGAGAGCAGGCGTCAATCAGCAACCTTCCTATCCACAACACTTGACGTGTCGGGATAGTCTCGGACTTAAGTCGCCCGTGCAGCCGAAGCCGCATGGGGACCGAGTCGAGATGCACACTTCCTACTTGCGTGGGAGGTAGCAGTTGGGTGCTTGCGGTGGGTGAGTGTTGATGTGTGGTGGGGTGATGGTGGTGGAGGAGGTAGGGAGTGTGAGGTGTAGCCAGCGGTTGTCTACCGCAGGTCGTAGTGGATGCGCATGTGGCTGAATAGGCCCATGCGAAGCCTGAAGGTGCGAGGACAGTGCGGGCAGCCGAGTTGAGCGTGGTGGGTATGGGTTGGTGTTCCAGGCACTGGTTCGCCAGTCTGCGATGGATTCGCAGGTGACCGACCAGGCCGATGGTGTCGGTGTCAGTTGCGGGAAGGGCGGTGGGGACGCAGGGTGATGAAGTGGGCGTGGGGTTTGGCATCATGGATGGGCCGGTATTGCGGTCGATTCCGCTCTTGTGGATGCGCATGTGGCCGAATAGACCCATGCGATGCGTGAAGGTGCGAGGGCAGTGGAGGCGAGTGCGGTGGGTGTAGGTTGGTGCTCCCGACACTGGTGCGCCAGTCTCTGTGCGATGGATTTGCAAGTGACCGACCAAGCCGATGTGTGAGGTGAAGGTGCGGTCGCAGTGAGGGCAGGTGTAGTCCTGATCCCAATCGCTGCAGTCGGAGGTGGTGGGGGTGGCGTTGGTTGTTGTGCCGGGGATGGTGATGTGCGAGACGGCCGCCTGAACGGCCGTCGCTGGGGCAGTGGTGGTGGAGGAGGATGATGGAAGTGGTGGTTCAGAAGAATTATCAGAGTTAGTTGACGACGGAGTGGACGAGGAAGGGGCGGGCGTGGGGACGATGTTTGGTGCAGTTCGAGAGGCGCAGTTGATCCGTAGATGTTCAACAAGTCCGATTCGAGCCCGGAATGTCCGTTGACATCGAAGGCACGTTGGAAGCGATTGCGCAGCGGCGTTGCGTACTGGGCGCTGTTGTGATTTTCGGGCTTCGCGCTTCGCTTTGGGGGCAGCGATGCCGCTGGCTGCGTATATCGCAGCGCCTGTCTTCACTGTCCTCCTCCAGGTCGGTCGATCGAGTGTGAGCTGTTCCCAGTTGACCGTGTTCATTTGGAGACGCTTCAGGGAGGACTTCAGGGTATCCTTGTAACGGCGAATTTGGCCTCCTTGATCTTGAGCATCCGTCGCGACGTCTCCGTATAAGAGTCGTTTGGTAGTCGCTCGTCGTCCTTGCGCACCAGGTGGCCGCTCCGGCGCAGCTGCATTTGTCTCAGTATGGTGTAGATGCTGAGGATTCCCGTCCGTTCCAGCACATCAGTGTCGGGGATTCGATCCTGCCAGTCCAGCCTCAGGATGCGACGAAGACAACTGGGGTTGAAGAGGTCCAGACGGCGTGCCTGCTTTGTGTACACCGTCCAAGTCTCCGCTCCGTATAGCAGCGTCGGCAGGATGACGGCCTTGTACATCTTCAGCTTCGTGCTCTGTTGAAGACCGTGACGATTCCAGACTGTGCTTTGGAGGTGGCCGAAGGCTTGACTGGCTTTCGAGATCCTGTTGGCGACTTCGTCATCGATCTGGGTGTTGCGGGAGAGAGTACTGCCCAGGTACGGGAAGTTCTCCACCACCTGCAGTTGGGTTCCGTTCACGCTGATTTGCGGCGGCGCGTTGGGGGCTGTGGTTGAATTGGGTGGTGGTTGACGCATCACCACCGTCTTCTGCGTGTTGATGACCAGCGGTGAAGAACAGGTCCATGCTCTGTTGCTTCTCCTCTTCCGAGGTGGTGTTCAAGGCGCAGTCGTCGGCGAAGAGAAGTTCGTGAACGGTGGTTGTGGATACGCGCGATTGGAAGTGCATCCGTCGTTGATTCAGGTGACCGTCCGTCCTGTAGGCGATGCGGATCCCCGGGCGTTCGTCGCGGTAGGCGTCCATCAGCATGGTAGAGAACATTAGACTGAAGAGGGTTGGTGCCAGCACGCATCCCTGCTTCACTCCGTTGCTCACTGCGAATGCCTTTGAGACAGCACCGTTGTCCGTGACTCGCGCCATCATACCGTCGTGCAGCTGACGCACCATCTGAGTGAATCGCTCCGGACAGCCGAATTTCTGCATGATCTTCCACAGTCCTTCACGATTCACCGTGTCGAAGGCTTTCGTCAGGTCCACGAAGGTAGAGTACAGGTGGGTCCGCATCTCCTGACACTTCTCCTGAAGTTGACGGGCGGCGAAGATCATATCCGTGGTCCCACGATGACGACGGAAGCCGCATTGGCTTTCAGGCAGAAGGCCCTGTTCCAGATGGTTATTGAGACGGTTGAGGAGGATTCGTGCGAAGATCTTTCCGGCGATGTTCATCAAGGAGATGCCGCGGTGGTTGTCGCAGACTTGGCGATTCCCTTTGCGCTTGTAGAGATGCACGATGGTTGCGTCCTTGAAATCTTGCGGGACTTCGCCTTGACGCCACATCTCCTGGAAGAGCGCAGTCAGGTGATCCATCAGTTGGTGACCTCCATGCTTGTAGACCTCAACAGGGATTGCGTCCGATCCGGGTTCTTTTCCGCTGGAGAGCTGCTGCACGGCCCTGATGGTTTCCTGGAGAGATGGCGGGAGGTCGAGGTCCACGTTGGTCTCCACTTGCGGCAAACGCTCGATGGCGGCGTCGGAGATGTCGGAGGGGCGATTGAGGACGCCTCGGAAATACTCGGCCCATCGCTGCAGGATTTGTGTCTTCTCAGTCAGGAGAGTAACACCGTCGGCGCTGGGGAGAGGAGCAGTGCCCTTCGTCGGCGGACCGTAGACAGCTTTGATTGCGGAGAAGAAGTTCTTCCATTCGTTGCGGTCCGCGTAGCCTTGGATCTCCTCAGCTTTGCGAGCAGTCCAGGCGTCCTGCATCTCGCGCAGTCGTTGCTGAAGTTGGCGGCGACTGCGGTAGAAGGCAGCTTTGTTGTCCTCAGTGGGGTGATCTACGTAGGCTTTGTGTAGGCGGTTCTTCTCGGCAAGCAGATTTCTGATGGCAGCGTCGTTGTCGTCGAACCAGTCCTGGTGTTGGCGGGGAGCGCGACCGAGGGCGGCGAGCGCCGTCGACTGGACTGTGTCACGCAGTTGACACCAGCGGTTCCCCACGGAGGCGTTCTCGGCAGCGGCGACGGCGTCGTCGGCGGCAGCGATTGGAAGGTTGGCTAGCCATTGAGCGAGCTCATTGCTGAAATGAAGATGGTGAGCGGACAAAGACAACAAGGCAACATTAAGCTTACCTGGCGGTCGCTTACCTTGTGGTCTCCTGCGAGGCTGTAGGCGAATACATATCTTCGCGATGACGAGGCGATGGTCGGTCCACCCGTCAGCACCCCCCCTCTCTCTGTCGCACACACACTCTCTCTCTCTATTTAGTGTTTTTGGTGGATTCTAGAAGACAGCGCATGCCCAAGCGCGCATGTGGGCAGAGGTTCTGCTCGTCCTGAGGATAGCAGCTTTCAGCGAATGCAGGCGGCGGAAGGGGTGTTTTTTGAGTTTTTCGAAGACTGTGATTGACTGGGTGTCCTGTTGAGATTCTGGCCGCTGGTCCCGCCGTATGGAGTGGAGTTGACAAGGCCAACGTTTGGGATTTCAGCGAGTACCCCAGTCCATCCCAGTGTTCCTAATACAACTGACGCAGAGTAGCTTGTTCCTGCATACGGTTGTTTCTAGAGGGTGATTCACGCAAGGTGTGTACCCGCGTTTTCAGCATCGCAAAAAAAACTTCCAGAATTGTTGATCAGTTTTGCTAAAGACGAGCGTCTCTGATATTGGGCCATTGTGCCGTCCATCTCAGTTTAAACCAATGCTTTGGACGGCTTGATAACATACGAACTGAAGGGTTTGGGAACAATTTGCGAGGATGCCAGGTGGTAGGGCGTTCAAACGCAGTCCTTCATAGTCAGCAAAACGCTGGTGTCAACCCGCGTGCAACAGAATCTAGGAATTGTGTTTTAAACGTGGGAAAATTTTTTCGCGTCCTCCGTCTACCTGCTATTTACTTACAATACTTGCGATAATAATGTCCACGAATTCCAAATTGGAAGATTTTAAACAAAGGAATGACCTCTGGGCGAAGAGAGCACGGGGAGGTGTGATATCAAAAAACATTTTAAGAGGAAAATTTATTTTGCAAAGGGATATAGAGGGAAATCAGAGGATCATCCTTAGTGTGTGCTGTGACCGTAAATGCAGATCAGCAAGCGAGTATGGAGAGTTCTTAAAGTGCGCATAAGAATACTAGGTCGCGGTTGACCTAGAGTGAGACCGACAATGGGATGGGCTGGCGACATCCCATTGGCCATAACGGAATCCTGATGAGGGTGGGCAAATTAGGATAGCTGCGCTAGGATGGTCCCGAATATTTGCCCGATAACCGGGATAGTGAAGACATTGTTTTGCGTAACGGCCGGGATGCACAAATAGAGAAAATTGAGATGTCTGATGGGATTCGTAGTTGGAGAGGACACATTTGAAATGGAAAATGCGAGCGGACAATGCAATTTGGAGACGGACTTTTAAATTACCGATGGTACTTTCTCGGGAAGTGCGAGGTAGCCGGAAAGCAAACGTATTCAATGTTCAGAAAAAGACGTAGTCTTCCATTAAAATCAGATTAAATATTTAAAGGTCTAACATGGATTGGCAAGTTATTCCAAACGAGGGTATTTCTGGGAGCAAAGAAGAGAGAGCGTTCACAGGCGAGGGTGGCAGGAGGGGCAATAAGCAGAGAAGAATTTTGAGTGTTGTTAGGATGAGTAACGGGGGTAAGGGCTGAAATCCAAGGGAGATTTAAGCTTGCTAATTCAAAAAGGAGGTAGAAGTCAGCTTCCGGTCTCCGTACCCTCAGAAATACCAGGTTAGTTGGCTGACGTTTGTTCGAATGGGAAGTATTGGGGTGTCTGATATAAAACTCCTCTAGTAAAATGCCTTTGGGCATGTTCAGGTTTATACCGGCTAAAATACTTCAGTAAACCAAAGAATGGACACGAACACTCGGAAAATTAATAATTTAATCTCAAAAAGGCAAGAATTGCCAGAAATAAAGCCATGAATCTGAGCAGATCTGGTCGTCATTCAGTCGTCAGGTTGCGTGTGATTTAGATGATTCGTGAAGACTAAGTCGGGGTCTTTGATGGAAGAACATTCAGTCTTGGGGGTGTCTAGAAAAATAACTTGTTGTGGGAGCTTTCTGGTCTAAAATCAACGTGGCAGCATTTTGAAGAAAAGAAGTTAATATGCCATATTGACTTTTGCGCAGAATGAGCTACCAAATCATAACGTTTCCTTTCCAAACAGCGTAAGGCATTAAATTTAGAAAAAGAATATACGAATTTAAGATCGCCAACATTTATAAGAGACTGAGCATGTATGACTGCCGATGAAATATCATTAATATAGGACAAAAACAAAGGAGTACATAGGATGCTAGCATGGTGGGCACTGCTTCATAATAGGGCTCTCGTCGGTAAATGAAACTCTGACTAATATATGCTGTTTTCAATTTGTTAGGTATAACTTATTGAAGTCCATCAGGAAGCCGTGAATTCCGAACTTCTCTAGTATTGCCGAGAGTGATTTATGTTAAATTTATCGAAGGTTTTATTAAGATCGGAATAAACGATGACCGGAGACAGATGACCCTGCCAACATATGGCCCCGCCTTGTGGGTGTGGCCAAGCGTGGGTGGATGTTGCCATGGCCACGCCATATCTTGGGAAATTTCAAGGTGCATTTCAGCCGCTTAGATGAAATATTTTGTGCTTACATATTCTACATTTACCTAAACATACGCTAATTCTCCTAGAAAGTGCCCAGAGGCCTCACTTCTTTGGTGATGGCAATGTGCCTGGACGAATCGATTAGGACGTTTTTGTTTAAGTAAGCCTCTTGGACTTACTTTATCTGCTGCCCTGCAGGACGTGATTGCTGTAGTCTCATTATCGTTTGCCTGCCCGTGACAAAGCGGTACGTCGTCCCACGTCTGTCGCACCTTTATTCTCTTACTTACGCCATTAACCATGTATTTTATGTTATGCAAGCCAACGGCATCCTAATCTCACAGTGAATGTTTAAAATGCGCTTAAACGTTTTGCATGCTGTTTTTTTAACCATTGATGAAAGCCGTCATGAAGCACAAATAGTACAGCTTTCACCGAAGCACAAGTAACAAGCGGATGCGCGTGACAAGAAGGCATATTATGCTCTGATGAGAGATGCCTCCGTTTCCTCTGCGTCGTCGGTAGTAGACCAACTACCGGAGTTCCAAATTCCCGAACTGGTCCCAGAAGTTCACAGTAGATAACTACCACTGATTGCTGCTCATTACGAAGAGAAGTACTTAGATTGATATATGCCAAATGGCAAGTTTCGCATGACCGTTCAGGTAAACACCCATGCTGACTAGAGCTCAGGAGCCGACTAGCTAGACAGAAGTCAAGAATTTCATTGAAAATTATCCTTTAAGAAGCTTTGCTAGAGACGATGTTTTGTGCATGCCCCGATAGTTATTAACATCGGACCGAGATTCTGACTTAAAGACGGCAATGATAATGGACGTTTTCCATGTAGCAGGAAAGATTCCTTTTGAAATATAGACCGAGAACAAATGACTGAGCAATATGAGGAGGTCGAATGTTTGTTTTATAATCGAATTAGGAATCCCGTCTGTTCCTGGGCAGAGTGGGTATTTTAAACGACTTATACGTTTATTAATGAGATCTGAGGCGACATCGATTGTACTCAGTGTTCACTTTCCTATGTCGTGTGGTAGAGTTAATGCTAACTTGGTTATCCGGTTGAGCACTTACGTGTGGTTTTTATTGCTGATTTGCTTTGGCTGAGACTGGGAGAATTCCATGACACATGTAGTGGTACTGCGATAGCCAATAGTTTGAGATGAGTACACTCGCGGTTGCAAAACTGAGGCCATAAAGGGGGAGGGTAACTAACGAGGAATGGGGAAAGCCGTCGCACCTGTTTTTCGAATGGGGTGGGCAAAACTGGCTGTCGTGTCGAATGTCTCACAGAAACCGCACTCGAAAACAAAATCTAGCCTCCTTATAGCTTCCTCTCGCCATGCCAGCAAGGCCCGGTCAGTCGAGGCCAGTGCTAGTAGGGGAACATCATGAATAGAACTGAGTAAATTCATAAAAACGAAGGACGTTTTTAAAAAAGCGCGGTTGGACTAAAGCCGTTCTGGATAGGGTTATGAACTTGGCTGGCTATAAGAAAATCACTAATTGGGATCTCACTTATTTCCTTAAACAGGTAATGAGGGAGGGCGTTTTTTAACATCTACATAACTGTAGGCATTAATACGAGAGCCAGAGTTTAACAGTTCAATAAGAATAAAAGTTTTCCTGATGCGGGAAAAAACCGTTCTCAAAGGCATTGCCTATTACTCTTAAATATACTGACCTATCTGAGCTGAATTTACTCGGTAGGGGGGGAGAACTGTTTAGACGTTGAAAAATTGGGCATGGGTTCTCACCGGCCAGCCATATTACATAAACCCGTTGTGTAATCGCATCCGCAATAGGATATAGATGGCTGCGGTCTTTGTAACTGCGTATGAAGTAGCTCGGGAACATTCAGAGTAAGACGGAAGTCAGGAAAAGATTACGAAACAATGACTCACCGATCTGAGCAAAACATCATATGCACGTGTCTGACTGTCGGAAGAAAAGCACGTATACGCGTAGGCCGTATACATACCACACTTGAACATAGGTGATAACCTTGTTTTTGTTCATTTACATTCATGCGGATTATGCGGAAACGTTTTAAGCTACCTCAGTAATGCAATCTTTGTGTGTTCAGGATTATACTGCTTGGATCATTGCGAATTCCTTGTGCATCTGTCTAATATTTAAGGGAATTATTACTTCGTTTACGTCTTATGTACGGCTTTGTTCCTCGCGATCTTCCTATGCACCATTCTTAGCATACACCATCTTTTCTGTAACGTAAGCGGTCGGGACTCGATCTGTTTGTTGCCCTGCTTCCAGCTCACCGGTTATGTGTTTTTGCCGAGGGCTTACTACCCTACTTTGCTATAAAACTTCAAGTGAGCGGATAGTTTGAGAGTATTTGAGATCTGATCTCAGCACGGTCTATGGTATTGAACTCGAGATCATGGATCCGTTTTCTTCGACCATTGTAGTCTCTTAAGCAATTAAAATTGCATTCCGGACTTCCATGCGGAATCTTCCGCAGTCGAGAAACTACGTTTACCTCCCGTCTACTTGCGTTGTCTGACGAAGCTTAAAAAGGTCACGCTTAAAGGAG